TTATCGTATTATATTGGGTTAGCTCCAGTCAAGAGGGAACCGTGTATGTGATTAGTTTTACAAGACTTGCCTTGTATATTCCAGTCTGATGGTTGAAGGAGGCTTCAATTTGAAGATCACACAAAGTAGCAGAGAAAAACAGACATGACAGATGTCTGGATATATATCAGGATGACTATTGACCACTGTCAAACATTTGTTTTGAACGAGTTATCTGTAGTTTAAGTTGTACAGTACCAGCTAAGAATGGAAAGTGATCCTTCCTCGTCACTTGGCTGCACGGATACATCAGTTTTGTTGGATATTTTTGGCGATGTGTACATTATAGGGGTTTCCCCCTTTTCTTTCGCAATCAGTAGGCCTATCGGGGAAACACCGCTCTCGACCTTGGCAAATAATGCCACGGTCTTACCCTTAACATTTGCGACAACGCGTATCCCTGAAAGATGCACGACCCAGATCAAAAGCGAAAAGTTCAGTGCATAAAGCAGTGCATAATGCTGATCATTGTACATGTACAGTGTGTTTTTGCGTCCTTTTGTCCCTTGACGCCTTGCTCAACATGGGGAAAACCCCGAATGAGAAAGACGTACTAGTTGTATGGCATGTTAAGCAACCTCGTTCCCATGGTATCGAGCAGTACGACGCTCAGGCCCTGGGATCATTTGCATATCCGATTTTTGGATAGATATGCAAATTAGGAATAATGGAGTCCCTGCCTTTTACTTATAACATTAGCGTTTTTAATATGCGGTGTCTGGGGTGAATTAAGAATCAAATTCGTCGTGCATCAACCTCGTCCCCATTGCTTACTTTATTTCCAACCGTCTTTATAAGCCCTGGATAGGAAAAGTTCTTCCTGCATCCTGATTCGATACCGCAATTGGCTAGTAGGCCTAATGGATTTATATCGTGTACTTGGTGCTGTTATTTCCAATGTGCAATACGTGTTTTCATTGCAATTATAACGTCCACGCCTTCTCAAAAATACCCCTTCCTTTCCAATTTGTTCATATTAATATGAAATGTAATACTGCATATTGGCGGCTTAAGATTGTAACATTTTAACTTCGCTATTGCAGGCACCGGACTATTCTTAATTTGCATGCGTATTCAAAATTTGACACATGCAAATAATCCAATACAAGGGTAAGAGAGCAGGTAAAGGTTGGCGCGTACTTCTGGACACCCTGGGGACGAGGTTTTCGCGGCGTGAGTTACGATGTTAAAATGTTACAATCGTATCCAGCCAATGCAGTATCAAATTTCATATTGATACGAGCAAATTGGAAAGGAAAGGATTTTAGTTTGGAGAAGGTACGGTACAGGTGCATATGGATTCCTTTGGGGAACTAATCCAACGGGCAGGTTTTCATGTGCAACCTCTATGAGAGAACACGGTGGAAACAGGCCCTTTTTTCGCATCTATCGCCGCCACTACATTATTCGACAGAGTATACCTTAGTTCTTACTACAGTATGATCCTAACAATATATACTTTCAGAAAATGAAACAAAAACTAAAGAAAACACTGATTTTTCCTCTCCAAAACTATGTTGAACACTGCATTTTTAGTCAAAAATCTCCCAGTTGTGTGTGTAAACACGCGTTCAGCCAAGAACTGGTCCATTTATATCATCACAACGTTCAATAGCGCCACCTGGGAGCTTAGTTCTCTCGAGTCATTTTTCGCTCGTACCCCCGCCCTGCAAACAGGACGCTGGGATACTCTGATGAGCTTCACAGAATCTTGTGAGGGAAGTGGCCTATGACCTTATGTATAAAGCATCTGGCTGCAGCTGTTCAAGACCGCAGTTAGACAATATGCGCAAATACTATCCGAAACTCTTATAGAAATGCGCACATTCAATACCGGATGTGATTTCTGTTTCATTGCGGACCATGTGGAAAAAATTTTGAGCGTCGCATAATGCAATCCGACCGTTCGTGATTCGAACGGAGCCTGAGCAAGTGACGGGAATTGTAAATTTACAAACAGATAAGTTTTACAGAATTTCCTACATTATTACGCTTTTCAACGAGAAAAATACATCTCTAAAATGGAATAAAAGAGTAATTAATCAGTCTTAACGGCCGTTTCAAACCTTGCGGAGTCATGACCTTGATGACACGCAGGTCACTGGTCACGCAAAATCCAACCAATCAGAGCGTGAATTCATCAGAGTATCCCAGTGTCCTGTTTGCAGGGCGGGGGTAAGAGCGAAGAGTCATTGGCTTTTCCGCAAACTTGCGGAAAGCCTTTGTTTCTCTACGAATTTTTTTTTTTTTTGGCTTTTCCGCTTAAATGCGGAAAAGGCTTTGTTTCTGTACTTATTTTTTTATTATTTTTTTTTCCTCTTGGGACTTCCAACCAAATGCCGTAGACTTTGTGCACGTTTTTTCTCATCGGCACTTTTTGCATAAAGCATACTCATATAACATTGAAACTTTACATAGTCAAAGAATTATAGCAAAGGTCTTTCGCAAAGATAGACGCAATGATGACGTCATCATGGGTCATGTGACGTCATCTTAAAGGTGCATACTTTAGGGCCCTATATCGCGAGAATGGTGAGTCCAATTTGGTTCATACTTGGTATGTAGGTAGACCGGGATGTGTTATAGGTAAAAATTGGAGTGACGTCACGATGACGTCATCGTGTGATTTTATAAGAATTTTTGAAGTTTTGGACCCTCAAACCATATCTTATCAACGGAACATGGTAATTCAAAATTCTTTTTGCGATGGGTTAAAATTGTTAGGTAATGCATACTTGGACAAAAAAGTGAAAAGTGCATGACGTCATGATGACGTCATCAAAAATGCGATTTTTGTATTTCACATATAAGGGTAAGTCTGATCGTCTTGAAACTTGGTGGATATGCAGAGACAGTTACTAGTATGCAAAATCCGAAGTGACGTCATGATGACGTCATCGCTTGATTTGTTATAATTTTTTTAAACTTTGACATTGTACATGAAATAGGATCATTATTAACTTTAAACTACGCACAGCACAAGGCCCTTCGGTAAAGTTGGTCTTAAACAAGTCACATCATAATGACGTCGTCATTAGTCATGTGACCTCATCTTACAAATTATAATTTAAACATTTTATACCTATCGTTCTAGCAAGCGAATTGGCTGAAACTTGGCAAATATACAGTTATGTGTATGTTATATTTAAAATAAAAATACGTCATGTTAACGTCATCATTTTTTTTTAATTGATTTTTAATGTATATTATTTTCAAAGTTTCATTACGTTTTTCAATTGACAAGTTCGGAATTATCTTGAATCCGATCAATTACAACCTTCGGAACAAATTTAAAAGAACCAATCTATAGCCAGATTTTCCAGAAATTTAAAGGAGACTTTTTAGTCTAAAACGGACGAAATCACGTAATTCCCGATTTTGGGCAATAATGCGCACGTAGAGCAAGTATTCCTTTC